ATATATATATATATATATATATATATATATATATATATTTTTTTTTTTTTGACTTTTTGGACGACCTAATTAGAAGTTATGGTCTTTCCATACTAGGCACTTATTTTCTCAGTAATGTTTCCTTACTAGAACAAATTAGGACTGGGCTCGAGAATGCTCCTATGGCTGGGCATACCCCATTTCCTTTTCCAAATAGCAAAACCCTAATTAGGTTTTTAACGTGCCACCCTTGATTATCAAATTTTGGGTGGCATGACCCTTTTTAGAAGGGAGGAGAGAGAAAAATGAATTTTAATAATCAGAGAGAGATTTGGTGCATTGAGGAGAGAGAAACATGTGTGTAGAGAAAGGCAGGCTCAATGGTGTTTAAATAGAAAGAATTAGTTCTCCTATTTGGATTAGAATTCCTTCTCTAGGTATGTCTATCTTAATGAGTTGGGTTGACCAATGGGAACTTACGAAATCTGTTGGTGAGAGAACAAATTTGAGCCATCCATCTCAGAAATCAGTCATCATGATTTTGGGAGGGTTATTATGAATCTTATCTCTTTATAAATTTGACCAAGGTCCAACTTCTAATTTAAATAGGATTATATCCAATCTAGGACTTCCTATAATCTTTTTCAAAATTTGTAGGAAGTCAAAATGTAACATTTATTTGGTCAGAACTAACTCCCAAAACAATAGAAAACGAATCTTTTATTTTAAAAGATTATCTAAATCAGTCTTTTAATTAAATAAAGACCGAATAATTGAAGGATTGGGGTGTGCCATCCTTATGGGCCTCATGTCCCACCCATGTGAGGGTGGCACACATGTGGGGTCTGGATCTAAGGTCACATGTGCCCTTGTTCTGAAAATTGTGAAACTGCCTTTTATAAGGTTTTTATATCATCATCGTCAGAGCCTTTTCCCAGCTAATTGAGGTTGGCTACACGAGTCCAGATCAATCATTCTGCTCTATTAAGGGCCATACCCTTAGTGAGGTCATAAGTCCTCATATTTTTTCTCACTACTTTCAACTTTATCATTATGGGTTTATAAGGATATTACAACATAAATAAATTTTAAAAATTCTGAAAAAATTTCTAAAATTTATTGAAACATATTCTAATACCAAAAATAAAATATCTAGAAGTGGACTAGTACCAATGGGTCAAAATAAATGACTGTAAGGGTACTCCACCTGACCTAGTAATCACGATCCACAACTGTCTTCTTAAACCAATCCCCCATAGTTTTATGCAGGGGCTTATGATTGGCTTGTCAAAGTTGGCCCAATAAACTGTGGAACTGTGCTCTTGGAATGTGGATTTCAATTCCCCCCCTTTAAGAGCAAGTTTAGCACTTGTCACTACAAAGAGGGCTCTCTTTATGCAAGATGTAAATATGTTCCTTTATAAGGCTGCTTCCGGAGAATGCGGCTGTCATGTGTGTATGCCATGTAGAAGTTTGTTGAGGCTTTGATCCTTATTGTCACAGGCCTACAACCACACACAGGTGACTACAAAGTTCCAGTGGCCTACAAACATCATTTCTTGGCATCTCTGTGACCTTGGCAAAAGATGATCCACTGTGAATCCATCTCGGTAGCGCCACATGCCCAGGAGCAAGGGTTTTGGACATAATCAGGGCTATAAACCGCCCAACCCTTGGTTAGTCAACGCACACACTTCCACTGGAGTGCATAATCTACTATAAATATCATTCTTGCAAGACCTTTAAAGGCCACAAACCCCGACACCATTATCCTGATTTTTTAACTTATCTTTTCGGGCTTTTAGACTCGCATAGCATTTTTTTCAAATCCTAATTAATTTGGATAGTCCAATATCTTGAAATAATCAGGACATTAGGTTCAATTAGTGGCCTTTGTTGCACATTGTTTAGGTGTGTTTTGTATCGCCTCAAGCATACCTTAAGTGCTTATTGTTACAATGTGAAGTTTCTATGTTAGAGACAATAGAGGCCTAGGGAAGCTGCATTGAATAGAGGCAGTCCATAATCTCCTCAACATCACGGCACGTAAGGCAAATATCAGGGAATTGGAAATATCTGTCCTGTAGTTTGGAAATATCTGGCCTGTCGGTGATCTCCAGCTAAGGCCTCGTCAATAGTAACCAACCGAAACCAAAACATAGAATGTGAGGAGGGGCAGCAATGCCCATTATCAATCTAGCAGGTGTGTATTAGACACCGTGTTAGGAAGGTGGCAAAGGATTGAACCTGAAAGGTACCTCGGGGATGATGTTTTCAAATCAGTCTGCCACTTTAGTGGCCGGATGAGTAGATTGAGTCAAGTAGGGTTAGGAGGTCAGTCATGTAGCTCATTAGCTTTAGTATTTGTTTGATCTCCATGAAGCCTAGCACATCACATGGTCCTGTCACTCTGTCTCTCATGACAATCTTGACCATGACCTCCCTAGAAACCACCACAGGAGCCAATCTAGGGAGCCTGTTCCTGAGAGGTCTATCTCCACTCCATGTATCAGACCAGAAAGGAATCTGGTTTCCATTTCCCAGTCTGAATTGAGTCCCGGCCCAGAAAAGGTTTCACACCAAGGACATACCGCACCAAATCCTCAAGAGGCCTATCGCCATTCCATGTGTTAGGCCAGAAAAGAATCTCATTTGTGATCCACTGGACTACTTGGCCAGAAAAGGGTGCGCACAGAGGATCTACCTTGCCATATGCCCAGCCTCCTGGAGTGCCTGCTTGCATGTATAATCTTTGATTCTGCCACTCTCACTTCCACATTTAGCTAGGATGCTTCTTCTGCGAGGGGCCAGAATCACCAGCGCTAGCTCTCATGCGATGTTCTATTTGATATATCAAGGTTTACAGGGGCGTCTTTCTTGCAATTGATGTCAGTCATTTATTTTGGCATAAAAGGAACCACATATCTCTTGGGCGTTGGCTCTGCTTGCCTTCAGAAGCATTCAGGCTGGGGCGGTAGTTCGTGGTTGGTTGACGGTTGTGGATTTGTGTGGGTCCTCTTAGAGATCATCTTTGATCTAGGGGTCATAACTGGATCAGTACCAGGGTCTTCTCATGCCACTGGCATTGAGGCATTGCCAGCGGTTAATTGCTCAAGCATCTTTCATCAAGGTTTTAGTAGTTATGTTGTTGTTGAGGGTGACTCAGTAACTGCCATCTGATGGGCTAGAGAAGAGGCGTCTTGTCAATGGCTGATGGTAGAGGATTTTCTTGATTTGGATCGGGGTTTCTTTTCACAATATGTTAAGGGAGTCTAGCTTGAAGGTGAACACACTATCTTTTAAGGATACTTCTAGGGAAAAGTTATGGGTAGGGGAGGCTTTGCAGCTCTTCTATTTTGTTGTTTTGTTCTCTAAACTCCTCTCCTTCTTCTGTTTTCTGACTGCATTTTGATATGTATACCTTCTCGGTATGTTCCCTCCTTGTGATATAAGCTAAAGAATTCCTACCACGGAAGGTGACAGGAGATGGCTGTTGGGATGGAGACGATAGAATTATTAGGATTTTACTTGGAAGTGTCTTCTCAAATGCAAACTGGGGCTTTGACAGAGATATGCATGTTGCCAAGTGGATGCAGATAGCAAAAAGGACCTAGGCAATCACATTAAAGCAAGCTGCTACCAACCCATCATGCCTAGTGGCCTCTAGGCAGCCACAAAAATGCAAGCTGACACCAACCCTCTGGACTGCCTTAATCACCTGATGGATGTCATATTTACTGTATATGTTTGGCTGTTTATGCATTCGTGTGTGTACATGTGTAATTGTCATAAAATTTATCATGTAAAGTTTAATATCTGTACAGGTAATTGAAAAATTACAACAGCATAATTCCCAGTATAATTTCCATAGGTTCCTGGAGTATTTAACTGAAATAGATTGTGATACTTTGCTTTTTATTGTGTTGACATGATATCATTAAGTGCTAACATAAGAGTAATCATGAGTAAATAAGCCTCTCTCTCTCTCTTTTGGCACCCATAGCTGAAGTGGTTCTGAAATTATATTCTTTGTTTTCATTTTGCAGGAGATAAAGTTATTCGTATTCTTTCTTTGGCATCTTAATGAAAGTATTACTAATATGTACTTCTCTTTTAGGATGATGAGACTACCTTGGCTGAAGAGGAGGAATTTGCCAAAAGCGAAGCTAATGACCCCTCAGATGAGGTATGGGTTACACTACATTCTTGTGAAGGTAGATTAGTGAGTCTTATTTTAACTATATTACCATTAAGCTTATGGCCACCTTGCTTTTCCTGTTCCGTGATCTGTATAGTTTTATTCATATTGCAAATTGGTCTATTTTGAAGCGTTTTTCCATTTGAGCAATGACTGCATAATTAGCTTCTATTTAGATGTAGACATAGTGAACAATCACATGTATGTGCTTATGTTTTTCTGGAACCGTGGTTCATCTGTTAAAAAACGGCAGCAACTAAAATTAAGTAACTGGCTGATATTCAAGGTGCAAAAGATTCTAAGACTATTTATCATTAGTTGCACCCATATTTGCTAAGCCAGCTTTCACCAAGTATGCCATGCATCATGGAAGACAATTACAAACAAAATTTCCATGAGGGTACTTCATAACCTTGTAGTTATGCTGAGTGCACCATTTGCAATTACCACAAGTTGATGCGTTGTTAAAGAGCCGAGCATTCATCCAGAAAAGAACCCAAGACCTGAATGAGAACAATTTGATACGAGTTTTAGCTTGTTCTTATCTCACTACTGCCTTGATATTATTACCATTAAATCATATTTCCTTTATTTCTTTATTTTTTTTGTTTTGGTATGTTAATGGTGAGGTGGGAATGGAGGGTGGATGTTATGTTGAGGCCTCTGCCCCCCAACCACCAATGCCCCAACCCCTTTCCCAACATTAAACTATATTTCTTTAATGTTATTCATTCATTAAACCATATTTGTGTTATGTTCATCGAGGTGGAGACAATGTTCCATTGGACTCTCTCTACTCCCATCTTTTCATCTTTTTGTGATATGCTGCATATGCAAAAGTACTCAGATAGCAGGGCATCTACTTATAAACCACGGGTTTGTGACAGGAGTGACATATACTTTTTAACCTCTTAGGCGCTCATAGGTCCACTTTTTACCCAAGTTATCTATTCTTCTTTTGTTTATTCTTTTGTTTACTTTCAACAAATAAATAGGAGCGTTATGTGAAACTTCATGAAACGTACAACCTAGGACTTAACCAAAAAGAACAGCAAAAAAAGAAATTAGGAACCAGATGACAAATTGGAGAAAATATATGAACTGAAGAACAAAAGTCAACGGGATGGGATGTGTTCCTTCTGAAGATATTGTTCCCTTTGAAGTCTCTCTCGATCAGGGGCATCTGCTGGATTATTAGTTTCTATGAGTGCAGGGGAATGGGACGTGAACAGCCCATAGATACCAGAATCTCTCCACCGACCTTGCGATTCTAGTTCCGAAACCTGATGTCGCGTTTTTGTTAAAGAATCTCCACGGAAACCATTTTTCGTAACCAAGAAAACTCGATTATTTAATTTCAGAATCTCGATTCAACACATCTTTAGAAACCATTTTTTGGAACCGAGGAAACTCAATCCTTTAATTTCGAGATCTCGATTCAACACATCTTTAGAAACCATTTATTGGAACTAAGGAAACTCGATTCCTTAATTTTGGAATCTCGATCGAACACATCTTTAGAAACTTAAACCAATTAAATGTTTGTAGACGTTCCCAAATATATCGAATCTGGATTCCAGCAAGGATTAAATCTTGATTAAAAAATAAATAAATTCAAATTATCAAAAAAAAAACCATTTCATAGTACATAATGTCCAATGTCTTTGATGGTTGTGCATTACCTAAAGGAAATTGGAGTAGAAATATTCCTTCGAATGCTTATAGTGGTTGCAGGTTTTCATTATTTTACTTGTGCCAACCTAGACGGCTTTTACTTTAAATTTAAAATATAACTGGTAAATGCAACACATGCAATTAAAAGTAAACCATGGTGTAGATATAATTCTATTTTATCTTTATAATAATGAAGTCAAAATCACAATTTAGAAATACTTATCTTTTGTATATAATGATCGTAAGTTCGATAGTGAACACAATCACTTTAAAATTTGGGAAACTTTCTAATAAGAGACATCCGATATAGGTTTCAAAGTTGATAAGGCTCAAGATGTGCTTGTGGCTTCCTTCTCCATAAAAATGAAATCACGAATCCTGGTAGGAGTTGTCAAATACATTCCATAGTCCATATTATTGTAAATCTCAATCTCAAACTGGCATGGATCTTTGATCCATATACTTCAGAAACTTGATTCCAAATATGTTAGAATCACGATTCGAAACAACAACTTATCTCTGTTCCACATCTGTCAGAAACTCGATTCCATATATGTCGAAAATTCGATTCCGCATATTAATGAATCTTGACTCCTGGAGTGTTGATTTCAGGGGCCAAGGAGGACGAATTCTTAATTCCATATGTGGATGAAACTTGGATCTATTTTGGCCGAAACATGATTTTCAAAAACTAGGAATCTCGTTCGCCGCGATTCCTATTGCACGAACAACGATTCTTAAGACATGAATCTCCTAGCCAGCGGCGATTTCGGTTCCTAAAACGATTTGGGTTCCCAGGCGTTTCCAACAACTATGGGACAGCCCATCACCTCTTTCAAAAATCTTGCCCATAATATTAAGAAAAATTATCAAAAAACTCCTATTATATCAACTATTTAACATTCACCCATTTATCAAAACATACCTAACTGTGTTTCAAAAGGCATATGCCTCAGCACCTTGGCGAACTGCCTGGGAGGGCCAAGGCCCTAGGTGCATCACCTTGAGTTAGGTGTGGCCCAAGGGGAGTTGCCTTTAGGTGCACGCCTAGGTGGGGGCCTAGCACCTTGGCCAAGCCTCGCACCTTGAACTCTTTCTTCTTTCCTACATTTATAGATAATATACTATTATATATGGTTATAGTACTATATAATATACATTATGTAATACTATATTAAATTAGTTTACATATTATACAGTAATTCATAGTGCTAGATATTATTATATAGTTCTAGCAGTTATTTTACTATGTATTTACTATTTAGTTGAAAGTGGACAATGTGAACTAGCACGGTTTATGTAGTTTAAAATTTTCTTTTTCTAAACCAGCTAAGACACATAAGTCCAAAGATTACAATGAGTACTCAAATAAATAAAGAAGAACTCAAATTTGGATTCTCACTTGCTGCCACTTTTACAAGTCTTTATTTCATAACAAAAATTTACATAAACTTGAACTTAGGAGCAAGAAACATAAAGTGTAGTAAATTGAAAGAGATGCCAAAAATTACCTCAATTGGACTTTATATACTGTACTCCGGGTTCCCTCCACCGATGGTGCACAAGATCAAGGTCTTTCTTAGATCTCATAAGTATGAGAAGCCTTGGTTAAAAATCCCTTAAGAATATGAGATCCAGTGGAACAAAGCATGGGCCTTTCTCTTCTTTTCTCTAAGTGGGGCATGCCCCCTCTAACAATGTATTTAGTAAGGGGTGTGCCTCCTTCTAGGGTTTAAAGAGGGTATGAGAGTTAGAGAGGTAGAGAGAGAATGATAGAGAAGATGAGAAAGACAGAGAGAGAAAGATAGAGAGAGATTTAAGTCAAGTATTGCAAATGGGACCCCCAATGAGAGATTATATAGACTTGTGGCTGGGGTTGGGTTTTATAGGGTTTATTCATCCTTATGGAGATTTTATTTAGACCATTGATCAAAGGAGACATGTGGCATGAGAGATCTTGACCATATAATCCATAGATTAGCCATCATGATCTAATGGAAGGTTTTAGAACTTTGCCCTCAGCTTTCTTAACCTAATCCCATCAAATATTTACCTGTAGAAAAAATATATTATACTTGCCTTTTATTTTCAAATCAATCTCAATACATTCTATCTTTTAAAACAATTAGCCTTGTTTTTCAAACCTAGCTATTTCATTTCAATCAATTAAGTGGCTTCTTACGCAAGCCAACATAATAGGAAAGAGAGGGAGAAAAGTGGGGCGTGCCGCTCTATAGGCACTAGCGGGCCCCACATCCTCAACAAGATGGGCTACATTGGTGGGGCCCATTACTAGTGTCCCACATCCTCAACATGATGGGCTAGATTGGTGGGGCCCATGAAGTATAATGGGCCCCCATTTTTTTTTTAATTTTAAAACGAATAAAATGATTTTTAGATAAGAAGGAGTATTTTTATTTTCTCTCTGAATAATCAAATACCTGAAAATGCAATTTAAACATATTTAAATATGTTTTGAGAAAATAAAATATCTAGAGACTTATAAATATTTATTTTAATAATCAAAAAAATTAATTTGATGGGAATTAGATTCAACTTCGTTAAGGAAAATGCGAAAATACGGAGGCACTCCATCTCTACTAGTGATTATGTCCCATACTCACTTTTTCAAATTGACCTAGTAGTTCCCATGTTATGCTACCAAAGTCGTCAATAAGTGATGGGAACACAATCCCAGTTTATGGACTACATGTTCCCCCCAGGGACAAACCTAGGTCACACAGACCTGTGCACCAATTGCGTTGGACATACATTTCAATTGGTGCATTAGGGTCAGAAACCCAACAATAGTACTATAGTACTATTATAAATTAGTAATATATTATAGTGCTAAAATACTATTATAGTCCTATACTATATAGCTACTTCATTGTACTAAATCTTATATATAGAGAGATCGAGAATGATGATTGGTCTCTACTCTCTCCCTTTCTCTCTCTACTATATATGGTGATATTGCATAATACTAGTACTAGATATATTCTATTTTATTATATTCTACTACATAGTATGTAGGGAGAGAAAGAGAGGGGTAGATGATGGGTCTCTACTCTCATTTTCTCGCTATAATTTCTTTTATATTATTTATATATTATACAGTACATATATGTACTAACTCCTCAACCCTTATATATAACCCCACCCCCTACCCCCCACCCAAAAAAAATAACTCCTTTTACAAAAAATATCGAGCCTATCATGTTATAAAACTTGATAGTGTAATAAAAACGATCAAAACTTATAAAAATATATAAAAATGCTAAGAAAAATGTTAAATAAATAGTAGGTAAAGC